TCATCAGTAGCCTCCCAGCCACTTACCCGAGCGCCTCTAAATCTTCTGCAGGTCCGCACCAACACGTAGCGGCAGGTCTTGCATCCAGGACTGCCCAGTATTTTCACTGTGTCCTCTTCCCTGGGGCACTGCAAGTTCTCATCTAGGGCATCTTGGTCCGACTCCATGGCCTCTTCATCCTCAAAGGCATCTTGGCAGCTGGAAGCCTCCACCTGCTCTCCTTCAGACTGAATCGCCTCCTCAGTCAGGACTGACTCTCCCTCCTGCTCCCCAGAGCCTTCCAGATCCTGGCTCAGGTCTGCCTGTGACTCTTGGCTGTCAGGATAGGGGGCATCATTCCCTGGAAGAACAGGTAACCTGCCATCATGTCAGGGGTCTCCTTCTTCTAGAACCACAGACAGCTCCGACAGCCCCACTCAAGCCTTCCTAGTGCCTCCTTCTGGAGCCTAGGCCTAAGGATCTCCTCCCTGTGGGGTGAGCACCTGGTACTGGCTGACAGGTGTGTATTTCAGTGTAGGAAGAAGCACCTCTGAGAAGATGTGTGGTTTTTGCTTGAGGAGGAGCCCTGACAATGTTCAGGTCACATTTCTGAGTCCAGGAGAGATCTTACCTGAGGGGAGCTGGGTCCACTGAAGAAGGAAAAGCTATGGCCTGGCCCAGAAGAAGCCAAGGAGTTGCCAGAAAGAGGAGAAGGGGTCAAGCTGGATGAGAAGGGAAGGGAGGACTTACCCAGATGAAGAGCAGCAACTGTCCCCAGCAGGAGGAGCAGCAGGAGCAGGGGGAGTTTCATATTCACTCGTTCTTGTGGCAGGGACACGGCTTCACTTCCCGCCGTGGGTCTGCTCACTGTGTCTGCACGGCCTCTGTCACACAACAGAGATGCAATGTTTGTTTAAGTGGCTGATTAAAGGGCAAACTGGAGGGCTTCCTTCTCCCCCAGTGAACAGATGCTGACCTGGAGAAGCAGAAAAAGTCCCTTTTACCCATGGGCTTTATCACTAGCCCCTGAGATGACACTTAGCCCAGACCCTGTCCCTGCAGGAACAGGTCTGCTCCAGGTCAGGGCCCGTTCCACTACACTGAGGACGGAGTGGAAGAACAGTGGCCATCGGGGCCCTAAGGACAGGCCTCCTAGGCTCCCTGGGCAGCTGGGGGAGCACTCACCTCTGAAGTGTCAGAGACCTCCACTCTTGGTGTCTCAGAATGAGGGGTCCCAGAGGCAGTCCTTATATTGGGCTTTTGGGGAAGTGGGAAGAGGCTTGGATGATTGCCCCAGGCTGGGGTGCTGGGCAGGGGAGCTGATAATAAGGCATTTGCTCAATTCTCTCAACTGCTCCCTGCTGGGACTGCAGGGACCTGCCTCCTGGGGTCCACTGACACACATGGGTGTCCAGGTGTGCTGGAGAAGACCCCAGATGTCTACTGCCCACATATACTAACCATTAGCACCCCTAAAGTGCCCAGTCTTAACCCCACGAGCAGCCTTCCTCTGGTCATTATCTCGGCCAATGAGGGGGAGGACCCTACAGTGCTGGGGGACCATGAGGGGAGGAGGGAGAAGGCCAAGGGAGTCCCACCCTCCTGAGTTTTTGTCTACCAGGGACTTCATATGTATCCTATCCCAGAATCCTCACCTTGTCCTCATTCCCATGAGAATGTATGATGACCCTGACTTCACATGTATGGAAAATGAGATTCAGAGAGGAAAAGTCCCTTGCAAGTGTGCACAGGAAGTGGGGGATCTGGGAATCCTAGTCCTTTTGGCTCCCAAACCTTGTATCTATCATCTATCTATCTCTTTCTCTTTCTCCCTCCCTCCTCTTTTTCTTATTCTCACTCTAGTTCTCCCTCTTTCTATTTTTCATCTTTAATGTGTGAAAAACTTATGCTCTTTCTTCTATGCTTTAGATCTAGATCAAGGTTCTCAACCTTTTCACTCTTACTAGTTGGAGTAAAGTAATTCTTTGTTGTGTGTTGGCAGAGGAAGGGGTGGGGGACTGTAGAAGTTTAGCAGCATCACTGGTCTCTACTCACTATATGTCAGGAGTACCTCCCCCATCACCTGACTGTCCCCCAAAGACTATCAAAAACATCTCCACATATTTCCAAATGTCCTCTGGGGAGCAAAGTTGCCTCCATTGACGATCACTGGTCTAGAAAATGTAGTCCAACCTCAAGGCATATCTTCAGGCAAAGAGGTGACAGCTGCAATGGAAAGCTTCATGTAGTAGAATCTTTCAGACACCATGGGGGCCACCCTCCCCACCTCCATGCTCATCTCCCACCAGCCCTCTGTCACCACCAGGGTCAGGACTAGGGGTAGTGAGTGAGGCACTTGTCTCAGGTGCAAAATTTAAGGGGGCACTAAAGAATTCAGTAGTCAAGATAAATAATGCTTTCATGCAATCTTTCTTGGAAATAAAAATAAATGCAAAAACATCTGTGATGAGTAAAATATCAAAACTTTAATCAACCCAGCTCCAGCCACATTCACTGCCGTCCAAAGAGAGGCCAACAAGTGCCGAGCCCTGGTTCTGCTGGAAATTCCTGCCGGGAGCTAGTGGCCTTGGCAGGGTGGGTGACCCACTCTGTGACATTCCCCCTGGGAAGTCATACTTCTTCCTCAGACCCCGGCTCAGTCTTCCAGGCCTCTGGGCACCAGGGACAGGAAGCCCAGAGGGTGAAAAGGCCTTCCCAGCCTCTGCTGTCCCAGGGGACCTACAAATGGAGAAGTATCTGAGAGGTCACTTCTGGGCCTGATTGCAGGGTAACAGTCTTGGCTGTTATCTCTCTGGCCCAACGGACCAGATCCTCAGCTTATCTACCGACATGAGGTGGTGGTGGTGGGTCAATTGGCCAATTCTGGGGCCCAAAAACCTGGTCTTGGATTTAAATTTTGAGTCCACCATAAGGGTGGGGGGAGAGGGAAGAGCTAGACCCCTCCCCAGCATTCTCCTCCCTCTGGAGCCCAGGCCAGGGGCATCTTATCACTCGCTGGTTGGAATGCTCAGCTGCTCTCAAGAGCCAGCCTCACGATGAGCTGTACACACACATCCCTTGAACAGCCCTTTGTTACGGATGTGGAAACGGCACCTCAGAGAGCTTGAGCAAGTTGCCCAAGATCACACAGCAAGTCAAAGACAGGCCTAAGGGCAGGTCTTCCAGCTCCTTATCCCTCCATGGCTGCCTGCCCTCTGCCTCCTCTCACTCACCTCCCTTCTCTACAGCCTGCCCCGGCCCCAACCCTGTCTTCTTGGCACTCAAACCCCAAGCAAAGATATTCCAATGGCTTCAGTGACCACAGTCATGTCTGGTTTAAAACTGGAAATAACATTTTTGAAGGCCCACCACAGACCAAACACTTTGCTACACGAAGGCTCTGGCATCCATCACCCCACTTAATCTTTACAATCACCTTACAAAATAGGTATTTCCATCTCTAGTCTGAACACCTACTGTAGAAGCTGGGAGAGGATCAATGACCTGCCCAAGTTCATACAACTAGGAAGGAGTGGCACGTCTGACTCCTAGGTCCTTGCTTCTTTGATACCCCCAGACAGTCTGCATTACTCCCAGACAGTCCATCCAATGCTGCCAATGTTTTCAGCATCCGTGAAACTCCAACTGTCTGGCTTATGTTTGCATTTACATCCAAAGGGGTTTCAAACTCTGCCTCTTGTCTCAAAGGTCAGTCCAGTCCCACATTAGGCAGGGGGTGGGTCTCAGTGCAGTGTGATGCAAATGAATGGCAAGCCCCAGAGTCTCAGTTTTCTCTCCTGGGAGCTGAGGCTATGACAGAACCTGCCTCTAATGAGATCAGCTCCAATAGTGCTCTCAGGACAGGGCTTGGACCTGGGGCTGTCCGGAAGCCAGCACTGGATCTGGGACCTGTGTCCACAGATAAGCACTGTCTGGATTGCGCTCCTGCTCTGTGCTGGCGCGGTGAACAGAACTCCAGGGGTTTCGCCCTAAAGACAAAGCTTAGCATCAAAGCTCAGCTAGCACCTTGTTGGGATGGGAAAGCCCATATTTTGGGATGTAAAGCCAGTCCTCTTACTCATTACTTTTACTTTTTTTATTTTTAATCCTCACCCCAGGATAATTTTCCAGTGAGTTTTAGAGAGTGGAAGGGAGAGGGTGAGAGAGAGAGAAATATTGATGTGACACAAACAGATCCATTGGTTGACTTCCACACGTGGTCCTGATCCAGGGCCTCAGGAGAAGCCTGCCAATAAGGTACATGCCCTTGAGGAGAATCCAACCCGGGACACTTCAGTCCACAGGCCAACGCTCTATCCACTGAGCCAAACCAGCTAGGGTTGATAATCCTCTTGATAGGCCCCTTCCAAAGAAAGGTGACCTCCCCTGGAACAATGCATTCTTTGCTAGATCCTTCCTTCTGCTCCCTTTTGCCTATAAACACCTTCCATTATTACAGCTTTTCAGAGCTTCTTTCTATTTGCTGGATGGGATGCTGCCTGATTCATGAATTGATGAATAAAGCCAATTTCATCTTTAAAAGTACTCAGTTAAAATTTTCACAGTCCTCCACTTCTTGAATCAGTGATATCACCCTCATTTGGAAAGCTGTCCCACTCCCACCCCACCCGCACCCTATAATGAATCCAAACAATGCAGGAGGGCCAGTTCCCCACCAGCCCCCACCCAATGAGAACTTTCCCCAGGCGGGGAGGGGTGCAATCCTCCAGCCTGGGCTGAGAAAGGTCTTGGGAGAGCCACCCAGCCCTTGATCTGCCCCTAGGTGGCGCTGTAGCCAAACCCCTCAGCGCCCCACCCCCATTCCACCAATACCCGCGGGCCGCTGGCCATCCTTTACTTTCCTCAAAGCCCCACCCTGCAGGAGTGAGGGCTTCCAGGAGTTTCAACCCCGGGGAGTCCTTCAATGAGCAGTGAAGAAACAAGAGTCAGGAAATGCAGTGGGAAACATGACTTTATTACAGGAGATGCTGGGAGTCCAGCCCAGGGCATAGGGTGGGCCAGGGGCCGCCAGGAGGGGTGTAGGGAGGGGGCTCCAGGCAGGATCTCTTCCAGGCCACTGGCTTAGTAGGAGCAGATGAAGGGCAGGCGACTTATACAACATTTTCGTCGCCAACGACCTCCTAGAAATAGAAAACACGGTGATGTCAGCTTCCAGCAGAGTGTGGCCCATGCCCCACTTGCCCTCCAATTGTCATGATATGTTTGCCACACACCCTGCCCCCCACTACTTTGTGTTTGTTGAGTTTTCACCCCAGGAAGACAGGGTGCTCAGTGCTTTCTGGGGCTCCTGGCTAATCCTCACAATGACTCCCAGAGGGAGGTGCTGTCCTCATCCCCACTGCACAGATGAGGAACCTGAGGCTCAGCGGGGAAACCACTTGTCTGTATGGCAGTGGGCAGGTGGCTGGGCTGGGGTGGGAACTGAGGCAGCCTTTCTCCAGCGTGTATGGCCTTAGCCACAGTCCTGAGTCCCTCACGTCTGACATTCAGCCATTCCTAATTCACACATCCCTCCCTCATCCCTCATCCACACATTTCATTCACCTTGGCTATTCTCAATTGTCTTATCAATAGCAGAGGGAGGAAAGGAGGCTCTAGGGCCCCAGCCGAGCTTCGACTGTGAGGATGGAGAGTCCTTATCCAGCCCTCACACAGGGCACCCTCTCACCCTACTTCACAGCCCTCCTCACAGACAGGATGTTGGTTCTCCAGTTATGGGGAGGCTGTGAGTTTGAGGAGGTGTTCTCAGGCAGCTCAAAGGGACAGTGTCTTAGAGTCCACCTTGCCATCCCTTCCCTTTGCCCTGGTGCCCAGTCCCCCTCACCTCTGGTGCATAGGGCCACACAGCGGCCGCGCCCATGATGATGAGCCCAGTTACTAAAATTTACAGCACTCCCATCAATCCAGTGTAACCTTCTGTACTAGAACGAGAGAGGGGATAGGCTGGGTCAGAGGCTGAGGTCCAGGAAACAGGCTGATACAGAGGTTCCAGAAAATGCCCACTGAGTGTCCCTTTCTGGGAACTTCCCACCCTGCTAGGAGCCAGATATCCTGGACACCCACCCCTGAGTGTTCGCAGGCAATGACAATGCAAGACCAGTAGTCCCTCCCCACCTCACACAGCCAGGCTTCTCAAACTTTCTGTGAATACAAGTCTCCTGCAGACCTTTTTAAAATGGAGATGCTGATTCAGGAGTCTCATATGGGGCCCAAGACTGTGAATTCCTAACAAGCTATCAGAAGATGCTAATACTGCACTTATTCACCCACTATATCAGAACCACTCTGAGAGAAGGACCCCCATTTTAGACATGAGGAAGCCATTCAGCTTGTAAATGAGCAAGCTGGACAAGGAAAGAATATCCTAACTCCTGGGGTGTGCTGGTAACTGTTTATCAACCAGCTCTGGGGGAAGGTGAGAAGGCAGAGTGAGGGAAGAACCCTGATTTGTAACAATCACCAATTTCCTTGGGGTAAATACACCTGCCATGGCATGAAGTCATTGAACATGGAATGGGAAGAGATGTGCACAATCACCAGTTGTCTTTAGCCACACCAGCCAGCTCCCCTACCGCCTCCCACAGGAAGGTCACTTGGCTGCTAGAATGAGGCCTGATGCCAGAGAGAACTTCCTGTACCTGGGAGCTGGCCCCTCACTTACCCAGCCCCTCATTTTGCCTCCAATCCAGACCTGTTGCTGGTTGATCTTACTGGCCAAGCACTGGAGTTGATAGTTGACACTGCGGTTGTGGATCGACACGAGGTTGCCTCTGTAGCACCTCCTGCAGACTTTCTGCAGAGAGAAGAAGTGGGGTAGATAATTCACTGGGGTTTTTTCCCTCCTCAAGCTCCTGAGCCTTCAGGAGAGAACTCTCCATCCCTTGTCAGGTCAGAAATCAGGGATCTACTTGCTCCTCCAATTCCATCTCTTGCTCCTTCATCTGTCACCGGGAACTTCTTGCAGGAAACAATAATAATACTGAGAATAATCTTAGCCACCATTTACTGGGAGTTTATAATGACTCAAGGACTGATCCAAGTGCTTGCCATGTATTATCTCATTTAATCCTCACCACAACATAAGAGGTTGGTACTATATATCGCCATTGTACAAGTGAAGATCCTGAAGCTCTGAAAGATGAAGGGACTTGCCCAGGTAACATGTCAATGACAGGTGGAGCCAGGGTTTAACACAGGTTTATCTAATACCAAAGCCTTTTGTCCCAATCAGTGATTCTCAAAGTACTGCCTCCAGACCAACAATATCATCATCACCTGGCACTTGGTCCTAAATGAAAACTCTTGGGCCCCACCTGCTAACCCTGAAATCTATGCTTCAACAAGACCTCTAGGAGATTCTGCTGCTCACTAGCGTTTGACAACCACTAGTGTAAATGAATAGGGAACAGGAGGTGGAATCCACTATCTTCTCCTGCCCCTGGTCCTCCTTCATCAGTAGCCTCCCAGCCACCACTTACCTGAGCGCCTCTAAATGTTCTGCGGGTCCGCACCAACAAGTAGCGGCAGGTCTTGCATCCAGGACTGCCCAGTATTTTCACTGTGTCCTCTTCCCTGGGGCACTGCAAGTTCTCATCTAGGGCATCTTGGTCCGACTCCATGGCCTCTTCATCCTCAAAGGCATCTTGGCAGCTGGAAGCCTCCACCTGCTCTCCTTCAGACTGAATCGCCTCCTCAGTCAGGACTGACTCTCCCTCCTGCTCCCCAGAGCCTTCCAGATCCTGGCTCAGGTCTGCCTGTGACTCTTGGCTGTCAGGATAGGGGGCATCATTCCCTGGAAGAACAGGTAACCTGCCATCATGTCAGGGGTCCCCTTCTTCTAGGACCACGGACAGCTCCGACCGCCCCACTCAAGCCTTCCTAGTGCCTCCTTCTGGAGCCTAGGCCTAAGGATCTCCTCCCTATGGGGTGAGCACCTGGTACTGGCTGAAAGGTGTGTATTTCGGGGTAGGAAGAAGCACCTCTGAGAAGATGTGTGGTTTTTGCTTGAGCAGCAGCCCTGACAGAATGTTCAGGTCACATTTCTGAGTCCAAGAGAGATCTTACCTGAGGGGAGTTGGGTCCACTGAAGAAGGAAAAGCTGTGGCCTGGCCCAGAAGAAGCCAAGGAGTTGCCAGAAAGAGGAGAAGGGATCAAGCTGGATGAGAAGGGAAGGGAGGATTTACCCTGATGAAGAGCAGCAACTGTCCCCAGCAGGAGCAGCAGGAGCAGGGGGAGTTTCATATTCACTCGTTCTTGTGGCAGGGACACGGCTTCACTTCCCGCCGTGGGTCTGCTCACTGTGTCTGCACGGCCCCTGTCACACAACAGAGATGCAATGTTTGTTTAAGTAGCTGATTAAAGGGCAAACTGGAGGGCTTCCTTCTCCCCCAGTGAACAGATGCTGACCTGGAGAAGCAGAAAAAGTCCCTTTTACCCATGGGCTTTATCACTGGCCCCTGAGATGACATTTAGCCCAGACCCTTTCCCTGCTCAAGGTCGGGGCCCATTCCACTACACTGAGCATGGAGTGGAAGGACAGTGGCCATCAGGGTCCTAAGGACAGGCCTCCTAGGCTCCCTGGGCAGCTGGGGGAGGACTCACCTCTGAAGTGTCAGAGACCTCCACTCTTGCTGTCTCAGACTGCTGGGTCCCAGAGACAGTCCTTATATTGGGCTTTTGGGGAAGTGGGAAGAGGCTTGGATGATTGCCCGAGGCTGGGGTGCTGGGCAGGGGAGCTGATAATAAGGCATTTGTTCAATTCTTTCAACTGCTCCCTGCTGGGACTGCAGGGACCTGCCTCCTGGGGTCCACTGACACACATGGGTGTCCAGGTGTGCTGGAGAAGACCCCAAATGTCTACTGTCCACATATACTTACTATTAGCACCCCTAAAGTGCCCAGTCTTAACCCCACGAGCAGCCTTCCTCTGGTCATTATCTCGGCCAATGAGGGGGAGGATCCTACAATGCTGGGGGACCATGAGGGGAGGAGGGAGAAGGCGAAGGGAGTCCCACTCTCTTGAGTGCTTGTCTACCAGGAACTTCATATGTATCCTATCCCAGAATCCTCACGTTCTCCTCATTCCCATGAGAATGTATGATGACCCTAACTTCACATGTATGGAAAATGAGATTCAGAGAGGAAAAGTCCCTTGCAAGTGTGCACAGGAAGTGGGGGATCTGGGAATCCTAGTCCTTTTGGCTCCCAAACCTTCTATCTATCATCTATCTATCTCTTTCTCTCTCTCCCTCCCTCTTTTTTTGTTCTCACTCTAGTTCTCCCTCTTTCTATTTTTTCATCTTTAATGTGTGAAAAACTTATGCTCTTTCTTCTATGCTATAGATCTAGATCAAGGTTCTCAACCTTTTCACTCTTACTATTTGGAGTAAAGTAATTCTTTGTTGTGTGTTTGTGGGGGAAGGGTGGACTTAGAAGTTTAGCAGCATCACTGGTCTCTACTCACTAGATGTCAGGAGTACCTCCCCCATCATCTGATTGTCTCACAAAGACTATCAAAAACATCTCCACATATTTCCAAATGTCCTCTGGGGAGCAAAGTTGCCTCCATTGACGATCACTGATCTAGAAAATTTAGTCCAACCTCAAGGCATATCTTCAGACAAAGAGGCGACAGCTGCAATGGAAAGCTTCATGTAGTAGAATCTTTCAGACACCATGGGGGCCACCCTCCCCACCCCCATCCTCATCTCCACCAGCCCTCTGCCACCACCAGGGTCAGGACTAGGGGGCACTGAGTGAGGCACTCATCTCAGGTGCAAAATTTAGGAAGGCACTAAAGAATTCAGTAGTCAAGATAAATAATGCTTTCATGCAATCTTCCTTGGAAATAAAAATAAAAGCAAAAAAATCTGTGTTGAGTAAAATATCAAAACTTTAAACAACCCAGCTCCAGCCACATTCACTGCCGTCCAAAGAAAGGCCAACAAATGCCGAGCCCTGGTGTTGCTGGATATCCCTGTCGGGAGCTAGTGGCCTTGGCAGGGTGGGTGACCCACTCTGTGACATTCCCCCTGGGCAGTCATAGCTCTTCCTCAGACCCCAGCCCAGTGTTCCAGGCCTCTGGGCACCAGGGACAGGAAGCCCAGAGGGTGAAAAGGCCTTCGGAGCCTCTGCTGTCCCAGGGGACCTACAAATGGAGAAGTATCTGAGAGGTCACCTCTGGGCATGATTGCAGGGTAACAGACTTGGCTGTTATCTCTCTGGCCCAACAGACCAGATCCTCAGCTTATCTACTGAGATGAGGTGGTGGTGGTGGGGCGATTGATCAATTCTGGGGCCCAAAAACCTGGTCTTGGATTTAAATTTTGAATCCACCCTAAGGGTGGGGGAAGAGGTTAGGGCTTGACCCCTCCCCAGCATTCTCCTCCCTCTGGAGCCCAGGCCAGGGGCATCTTATCACTCGCTGGTTGGAATGCTCAGCTGCTCTCAAAAGCAGGCCTCACGATGAGCTGTACACACACATCCCTTGAACAGCCCTTTGTTACAGATGTGGAAATGGCACCTCAGAGAGTTTGAACAAGTTGCCCAAGATCACACAGCAAGTCTGAGACAGGCCTAAGGGCAGGTCTTCCAGCTCCTTGTCCCCCCATGGCTGCCTGCCCTCTGCCTCCTCTCACTCACCTCCCTTCTCTACAGCCTGCCCCCCCCCCCCACCCTGTCTTCTTGGCACTCACACCCCAAGCAAAGACATTCCAATGGCTTCAGTGACCACAGTCATGTCTGATTTAAAACTGGAAATAACATTTTTGAAGGTCCACCACAGACCAAACACTTTGCTACATGAAGGCTCTGACATCCATCACCCCACTTAATCTTTATAATCATCCTACAAAATAGATATTGCCGTCTCTAGTCTACACACCTACTACAGAAGCTCAGAGAGGTTCAATGACCTGCCCACGTTCACGTCTGACTCCTAGGAACTTGCTTCTTTGATACCCCCAGACAGTCTGCATTACTCCCAGACAGTCCATCCAATGCTGCCAACCTTTTCAGCATCCGTGAAACTCCAACTATCTGACTAATGACAGAATCTATCTCTAATGAGATCAGTTCCAGTAATGCTATCAGGAGAGTTCCTGACACCTGGGGCTGTCAGGAAGCCACGACTGGATCTGGGACCTGAGTTCACAGATAAGCACTGTCTGGATTGCTTATCTTCTGCTCTGTGTTGGTGCCGTGGATGGAACTCCAGGGGTTCCTTAGCCTTACAGAGCTTAGCTAGCACCTTGTTGGAGATGGAAAAGCCCATATTTTGGATGTAAGGCCAGTCCTCTTATTTTATTACTTTTACTTTTCTTCTTTTAATCCCCACCCGAGGATATTTTTCCATTGATTTTTGGAGAGAGTGGAAGAGAGAGGGAAAGACAGAGAAATATCGATGTGAGAGAAACAGATCCATTGGTTTCCTTCCGCATGTGGCCTGGGCCCTGGTCAGGGCCAGGGAGGAGCCTGCAACCAAGGTAGATGCCTTTAACTGGAATCAAAGCCGGGACTCTTCAGTCAGCAGGCGGACACTGTATCCACTGAGCCAAACTGGCTAGGGCTAATTTTACAGTTTTAAAACTTTACTTGTGGACATATAATAAGCATCTGGTAAAGTAGATGAGCTGCTTGGGAATTTTTACAGAATGAGTGCATCCACATAACCATGCCCAGATCAAGGTACGGAATGTTACCAGGAGCCCAGATGCCTTCTTCCTGCCCCACTTTTGACATTAATACCCCAAGGGGATCCTTACAGACTGGACACCACACTTCTGTCACAACCCCCGCTCCGACCCCCCAACAGAAGGTTTATGAGGGACAAGGCAATGTTCACCTCCACTTAGTACAGAGCCTAGCACCTGGTAAATGCTTAATAAACGGGAGTTTTTCTTGATTTTTATTAGGAATATTTGAATAAAGGGAAGCAATACCTTCCCACACCAGGATATGAAATCCTCGAGGGCAAGATGGCAGCAGAACTTCAGCCGCGCCCTGCCCAGCCCCCAGCCCAGGGCTGAGCCCCACACAGGTTTCAGAACTCCAGCTTCGGTTTGATTTCTATCTCTTTCTCAACTTACTGTGCAACCTTGAGCAAGTAGCTTCTCTGATATGGACCACAATAAAAAAAAGTAAAGTTCTTCATTGGCCTCTCTAAGACCCTGGTCCCATCTCTAATCTTCTGAATTTGAGGAGTCTCGGAGGAAAAGGGCTTCGGGCATTGACTTTCTGCTCACCTCCCCAGGGCAGAGAGGGTCCGGGACGCCTGCCTTCCTCCCCTGTGATTGGGAATCCCTCATCTCCAACTGGGCTGGAGTCCTGTGCCCCAAGATGTACCCAAGGGTAAGGGAGTTTGTCTGCCTCCCCGCTGTGCTCCAACCCCACGCGATCATGTCCTGGAGGCAGCCAAGGCCTCCAGGGAACCCTCACAGTTAAAGGAGCATGCTCTGGAATCTGTAGGTGAGTGAGTGATGGAAGAAAGCAATCCTGGTTTAAGATTGCCATAGAGTGGGCCGAGCAGATGCGCCCTGCAATGAGATCTCAGGCAGGAATGTTAATGACAACCACAGCAGCAGCCAGTGTTCAGGAAGCACTTTCTGCGTGCTAAGTGTTCCTGGGGCTCCATATCATTTAATCTTCTCAACAACGCTAAGGCAAGTACCACTGTCATCCGTGAATTACAAAAAGAATGGGGCTCAGACTGGTGAAGACTTGCCAGGGAAGTGTCTAAGGCAGGATGTGAGTGGAGAGCCTGCCTTCTTACCCTCCACACCACACTCCCCAGGGAGGTGAATAAATGGCACAGAGCACCCACGGGGACCCTGGAAGTTAGTGGGACAGGTGATGACACGGGAAGCATGGAGAACGTGCTTCTTGGAATTAAAAGGACCCTGGCTAGGCGGGCACCTCACCTCCCAGGCTCTATTTGCCCGTCTGTGAGTTTAGTTAAGGATGACAACCTCAGGGGGTTTGGGGAGGATGCACTGGGAAGCTGGTTGTGCAGTGATCTACGAAGTGCCTGACACGTGGTGGGTCCTCAACAGACTCTCTGAATATTATCCCCGTTGTAGAAAGAGAGGCTCGGAAAGGTTAAGTGATGCTCCAGATTTCACATACTAGTAAATGGTGGGGCTTGAAAAGGCATCCATCATCCACGGGAAGAGATTCTGAGCATATTCTACATACACATCACTACACGGGCAATTCACAGCCCCCAAAAGAGGATACGTGGTCTC